CTTTTTATCTGCTCATATTATTGTAACTGTTTTTAGTAGATAGCATACAGTTTTTTATTTGCATTTTTTCCCTCAGTACTACTAGTATTGAACCCGGGGCTTCATACATGGTCAACGGATAGTCTACTACATCCCCAACCCTGAAAATGTCTTTTAATTATTGCCTTAGACCATTCATAACTCAGGTGTTGATACGTTTTGTGTGTGTGTTTTCTGAGTCTTACCTGTGCTTCATCTTTCTTTTTCTTCTTTTCTGTTGTTTCAGTGATTTGAACATATTTTAGTATTTTCAGTTCATTTTCTTTTTCATTCTTTATGATTTTTAGTGGTTGCTATAGGAGTTATAGTATGTACAGCTTTTTATCCCCCTTAGAATCAGTATTTTAGAACTCTAGGTGTATTGTGAATAACCTACCACTATCTTGGTCCCTTTACGTAGCCTCTACTATCATGTTTTTATTGAAGTTGTGCTATTTATGACTTTTATGGACATTAAAAATCAAATACATGATATTCTAGTATATTTATACAGGTATTTTGCATTTCTGCTGATTTGCTTTTATTTCTGATATTACAAATTCGTTTAGTTTTCTTTTCCTCAAAAATGACTTTTTCATGTTTATTCATGAAAGATAATTTTTTGGTAGTTTGCAGGGGTTTTTTTTAGCAGATTAAAAATGTTTTATCTGTTCTCTCTGGTCTTTGAAACTTTGTTATTCAGATTATTTTCATAGGTAAAATATGTTTACTTTTTAAGGATTCTTTATTATTAATATTCAGCAGCTTGATTACATTATATATCACTATGGATTTCTTTGAACTTATCTTCCTTAAGGTTCACTGAATTCTTTGAATGTGTGATCTTTATTACATTTGGAAAGATTTATATCAATATTTCATAGAAGTTTTGTACTGTTGTCTTCCTCTTTTCTTTGGCTCGCAGGTTTCTGGGGCTCCGGTTTGGTGTTTTTTTTTTTTTTTTTTTTTCATTTTAGTAATACATTTTTAAACTAAATTACAGGTCAATATTCTAAAATGTGTAGTTTACATGAGGATTTATGTTTTTGTATAGTCTTGTTCAGTGGGTTAAGTGAATACATGTAATGTGTCTACCATTATGTTAACCTCCTGGATAGTTTTACCTCCTATAACTCCTTTGTTCTTCCTATTCATTCTTTTCTCTTTCACCTCTTCCCCTGCCCTTTGGAAACTACTGCTTTTTTCACTTTATAATGTAGATTTTTCTAAATGTTTTATATAGTTAGGATCAGACAGTATATAAACTTTTTAGACTGGCTGTTTTCATTTGGCAATATGTTTGTAAAGTAGTGTCTTTTCCTGGTTTAGTAACTCATTTTATTTTTTTGACACCAGGAATTGAACTCACAACTTTGTCCTTGCCAGGCAAGCACTTGGGCTGCTGAGCTAAATTCCCAGCCCAATAACTCATTTTTTAAATTACTAAATAATATTTCATTGTATTGATGTGCTACAGTTTTTATTCATTCATCTATTAAAAGACATCTCAATTGCTTTTAATTTCTGGATATTATTAATATAAAGCATGAGTAAGCATTTCCGTATAGATTTTTGTGTGAACTTTTAGGTACTTTGTATCTGGGAATGTTATTGTTGAGTTGTAAGACTATTTTTTGCTTTTAGAAATTGCCAAACTGTCTTTGAAAATTGCTGGACTATTTCACATTCCTACCTGCAATGCAGGAGAGCTTCAGTTGCTTCCTAGCACTTGATGTTGTAGTGATTTGGGATGGAGACGTTCCAGTGCCTGTGCAGTGGGTCATGTTGCCCTCTCAGTTTGCAGTTCCTGAGAGCAAGTTATGAAACATCTTTTCATATGCTTATTCATCCCATGTAAGGTGTCTGCTCTACTTTTATCTTTTGATCATTTTTAAATTCTTTGAGTTTTTAGTATTGAGATTTAAGAATTGTTTTATTAGATATGCATTTTATAAAATACTTTTTCCAGTCTATGGTTATTTTTATTCTTTTAATGTTTGTAATATAGGCTTTTCTGTGTCTTTTACAGAGCAGGCCTTTTTAATTTTAATAATGTCTAGCTGATTAATTTTTCTTTCACAGATACTACTCTGTTGGCATTGTGTCTAAGAAGTCATTGCCAAACCCAAAAGCATTTAGAGTTTGTACTGTTACCTTTCAGAAGCTACATTCCTAGACTTACCCTAATTTAATTTAATTTATTTATTTGTACTGGGAATCAAACTCACGGGACCTTGTGCTTGGCAGGGAGGTGCTTATGCCATTGAGCTGTATCCCTGGCCCCCACTGAGCTCAAACTAACAATCCTTCTACTTTAGCCTGCTAGAATACTGTGCTTCCAGGCATGTGCTACCATGCCCAGCCTCCTCCAGCAGTTTTTACAGTTTTGTATTTTACATCTATTACTCAATTCATTTAGTTTCTGTTAATGGAAAGAAATGGATTCTAGATTTACTATTTTTGCATATGGTGATTTGTTTTACCACAGTATGTTAAAGTGGTGCACTTTCTCAGTAATTGTCTTTGTTCCTCTGTCAGGTATCCATATCTAGGCTCTTTATTCCACTGATTTATTTGTTGTTCTTTTGCCAGTTCTACATTGTGTTGATTACAGTAGGGTTTTTTTGTTTTTATTTGGGTTTTTTTTGCATGGGGGTACCGGGGATTGAACTCACAACTTTGCGCTGGCCAAGCAGGCACTTGTGCTGCTAAGCTATATCCCTAGCCTGATTACAATATTTTCATAATAAATCTTAGCAGTGGATAATTTTAGTCCTCTAACTTTGTTGATCAATATCACTTTGACTATTTTAGGTCTTTCACTTCTAAATAAGAGAATCAATTTGCTGATATTAAAATAATGAGATGGGATTAGGGCAGATTGTATTAAATCAAATAGGAAGAATTGACATCTTAATAATATTGAGAGTTCATATACATTAACATGGTGTATCTACTTATTTAGATCTTCTAAACTCTGCTCTTTCATGAGCATTTTGAATTTTTATTCCTACAGATATTCTATATATTTTTCAACTAGACAGTATTTCATTTTTTTGCTGCTAATACGAATGATGTTATAGTCCAAAAATTTTTACTATATTTGCTAATATACCATAATATTGTGATTAAAATCTAAGTCCTCTTTTCAATTTTTGTTGTATGCAGTGTAACTATGGAAAACCTCATATAACATAAGCATGCCTTTCTATAAGTGAATATGGAATGCAGATTTGTAACATTTAGATGAGAAAACTATACACTTATACTCCAATGTAAAAGCTATTTATTTTAAATAAATATATCATAGTGGTGATAAAATTGTTATTGTAGTAAGGAAAGTTGTTAGAAAAAAATGAACTTATCTTCCATTTAAACAAAAATTAATGTTTCAGTAGCAGGTTAGTAGTAGTAATTTAGAAGAAAGTATAAAAAAAGTCTTCTTTGACTCTAAAAGTTGTTAGTTTGAGGGTTTTATATAAACAAATACTTGGAGTTAGAAAAAAATGATTTTATAGCTCTGGCTACTATTTTCGTCTACTTTCTTATTTCTATAATGGCAGCTTAATAATACCTTATATTTATGAAGAGCTTACATTTTTACAAGTCCTGTTGCACAAATAATCTTGATTGCATTTAGATACATATTATTACACATTTCTTCATGGTAAGAAATATAATATGATGCTCACGTCATTCTTAGGCTGAAGACTAAGAGCGGAACCTCGCATACTAGAGATGGAAAGTAGTGAAACTTACAGGAATTGGCAGGCTGCACCTGTTCTCTCCATCCCTCCTCACCCTTGGATAGGTGTGCCTGGGCCAAGGGTAGCTGCATGCACCATGGCAGTGCTGTAGGAGAGCTAGCTTTAACCAGTCCTCAGCTGCTTTACTTATGTAAGAAAAAACTGTAGATGTAAAAGGAAGAAACAACCCCTTACCCCAATCTTAGCTGTGTTTGGAGTGTTTCAGACAAGGCTATTACAAGATTATCTAGAGCTTGATCCCTAGTAGCCTGGAATCATTTAGGATTAACTTAAGACTTGACAACCTCATTTGTTGAGTTTTCATACCTTTAGATTAATTAAGCAGTTACATTATAAGTCATTTTTTGAGAGATAAAAGATTTTTGCTTATCAAATATTTCCATTATTCTGCATTTAACCATGTATATTAAATCTGACAAAGTAATTTTATTCTTAATGAAAATGATAACTGTGGAAGTGATTTAACTCATGTGTCTTAAACTCCTATACAGGTATCCCTTGTTGTCCATCTGAGATTAGTTCTGGTACCCCCAAACATAACAAACCTATGCATCCTTAAGTTCTTTATATAAATAGTGTAGTATTTGCATGTCACCTACGCACATCCACATCTTCCCGATTATCTATAATGCCTTATAAAATGTAAATATGTACTTCATAAATAGTTGTTGCACTTTGTTGTTTGGGAAAAAATGACAAGAAATAGCCTGTGATGGTTAGTACACATTTTTCTTTTCGTCTTGAATTTTGGAGTATTTTTGATCTTCAGTTGTTTGAATCCATGAATGAAGAACCCATGGATACAGAGGTTTAAATGTGCTCATTTTATCAGGCCTATAATGTGATGGTAAAGGGTGCCTTATATAAACTGTTTATAAAACTGTGAAATAAGAGACCAGGTAAGATTCAGAAACTCATAGGAAATTACTTAGAATCGGTAGGTAACCAGTATTGCTACTGCATTTTTCTTTTGCTTCTTTTGCTTTTAATAGTACAAAATTTATTTATATTTCTTACAAGTGTGATATAAAGGCAGTGTAAATAAGGGTTGCAATAGGTTTCTGAATAGGCTATGGGTCTAGCAAAAATATAATAGCTATTAAAATTTAAATTTTTTAAAAAGAATGTTAGAAAAGTTGGTATTTTCCAAAGTGGTAAGTATAAAAAACTGAGTCTATTTTACTTTATCATTTTTTTTTTTTTTCCTTTCTTCAGGGATATTGGAGAAGATATTCTGCTAGAAAAAGATTTCTGAAATTGAAATATTATTCAGTCATCTTGCAGTCAAGGATAAGAATGATAATTGCTCTTACAGCTTACAAAAGGTGTCTTTGGGCCACAGTTACAATTCAGAGGCATTGGCGGGCTTCTTTAAGAAGAAAACAGGATCAAGAAAGATATAAAATGCTAAAATCATCAGTACTTATAATCCAGGCTAGGTTCAGAAGATGGAAGCGACGTAAAATGCAACTGCAAATAAAAGCTGTGGTTGTATTACAGAGAGCTTTTAGAGAATGGCACTTCAGAAAACAAGCTAAAGAAAAGTCTGCTATTGTCATACAATCATGGTATAGAATGCACAAGGAACTGCAGAAATACATTTATATTAGATCGTGTGTTGTTATCATTCAGAGAAGATTTCGGTGCTTTCAAGTCCAAAAATTATACAAAAGAAAAATAAAGTCTATCTTGACAATCCAGAAGTACTACAGGGCCTATCTGAAAGGAAGGACTGAGCGGACCAGCTATTTGCAGAAAAGAGCTGCAGCCATTCGACTACAGGCTGCTTTCAGGAGAATGAAAGCTCATAATTTACAAAAACAGATGAGGGCTGCTTGTGTTTTGCAGTCATACTGGAGAATGAGACAGGACAAATTTCGGTTTTTAAACCTTAAGAACAGTGTTATAAAATTACAAGCGTACATAAGAAAACATCAACAATTACAGAAATACAAGAAGATGAGAAAAGCGGCCATTGTAATTCAGACTCGTTTCCGAGCTTACATTTTAGCCAAGAAAGTTCAAGCATCCTATAAGAAAACACGGTCTGCTGTCATTGTTCTGCAGTCTGCATACAGAGGGATGCGGGCCAGGAAAATGTTCCTTCATATCCTCACATCTGTTATAAAGATTCAATCATACTATCGTGCTTATATTTCCAGGAAGAAATTTCTGAGCCTAAAAAGTTCTGCAATAAAATTTCAATCAATTTTCAAGATGAAACAAGCACGTAGACAATATTTACACGTAAGAAAAGCAGCACTCTTTATCCAGCAATGGTATCGTTCTCAAAAAATGACTGCACAGAAAAGAGAAGAATATATGCAGATGCGTGAATCTTGCATCACATTACAGGCTTTTTGTAGAGGCTACCTGGTCCGAAAGCAGATGAGCTTGCAAAGAAAAGCTGCTATTTCACTGCAGTCTTATTTCAGAATGAGAAAGTTGCGGCAGCACTACCTGAAAACCTACAAAGCAATTGTTGTCATTCAGAGTTACTATCGTGCATACAAAGCACAAGTGAATCTAAGGAACAACTTCTTGCAAATCAAAAGAGCAGCTACCTGCTTGCAAGCAGGTTACAGAGGTTATAAAGTACGCCAAATAATCAAACAACAATCCATAGCTGCTCTTACAATTCAGACTGCTTTTAGAGGCTACAGTAAAAGGGTAAAATACCAATCTGTGCTTCAGTCTACTGTGAAGATTCAGAGATGGTACAGGGCATGCATGCTTGTTTATGATATGAGAAGAGATTTTCTAAAGACAAGGGCTGCTGTGCTTTCCCTCCAGTCTGCCTATCGTGGCTGGAAAGTCCGGAAGCAGGTCCAAAAGGAGCATCAAGCTGCAATCAAAATTCAGTCTGTTTTTAGAATGACCAAGGCCCAGAAACAATTTAGATTGTTAAAAACAGCAACAGTCATCATTCAGCAACACCTAAGGGCACTAAATGCAGGCAGAAAGCAACGTATGGAGTACATTAAACTCCGTAATGCAGTAGTGATGCTCCAGTCCACATGGAAAGGAAAAACCCTGAGGAGACAGATTCAAAAGCAGCACAGCTGTGCTGTTATCATACAGTCATACTACAGAATGCATGTGCAACGAAAGAAATGGAAAATCATGAAGAATGCGATACGTCTCATTGAAATGTATTATAGAGCTTACAGCATTGGAAGAAAAGAACGTCATTTATATTTGAAAAAGAAAGCTGCTATAGTAACTTTACAGTCAGCCTACCGTGGTATGAAAGTAAGAAAAGGAATGAAGGACCACAACAAAGCAGCAGTCACCATACAGTCTAAATATAGAGCTTACAAAACCCAAAAGAAATATGCAACCTATAGGGCTTCAGCCATTGTAATTCAGAGGTGGTATCGAAGTATTAAAAATGCAAATCATCAACATAAGCAATATCTTAATTTAAAGAAGGCAGCAATTAAAATCCAAGCTGTTTATAGAGGTATTAGAGTAAGAAGACATATTCAACACTTACACATGGCAGCCACTAGTATTAAAGCCATGTTTAAAATGCATAAGTCAAGAGTAAGATACCATGCAATGAGAAGAGCAGCTATTGTAATTCAAAGAAGATACAGAGCATATTATCAAGGTAAAATTCAACGTGAAAAGTACCTGACAATTTTGAAGGCTGTTAGTACACTTCAGGCAAGTTTTAGAGGAGCAAGAGTTAGACAGGCTCTAAGAAAGATGCAAATCTCAGCAACACTCATTCAGTCATACTATAGAAGATACAGGCAGCAAACGTATTTCAATAAACTAAAGAAAGTGACAAAAACAATACAGCAAAGATACAGAGCAGTGAAGGAAAGAAATGTACAGCTTCAAAGGTATACCAAGTTGAGGCATTCTGTGATATGCATCCAGTCTGCTTTTAGGGGAATGAAAGCTAGGAGACATTTAAAAGCTAAGCATTTAGCTGCTATCCTTATTCAGAAACAATTTAGAGCTCTATTGGTGAGAAAAAAATTCCTCTCTCTTAAGAAAACAGTTATTTGGATTCAAAGAAAATATCGTGCAAAACATCACTTACAACAGTATCTTCAGTTACGGAAGGCAGTTATTAAAATCCAGGCATCCTATAGAGGATGGATGGTAAGAAAGAGGATACAAGAAATGCGAAGGGCTGCTACTTTGATCCAGGCAGTATTCAGAATGCACAGAAACTATGTTACATTTAGGACTTGGAAACATGCTGCAATTCAAATTCAGCGACATTATCGAAAATATAGAGCAACAAAACTGCAAAGAGAAAATTTGATCAGGCAATGGCATTCTGCTGTGGTCATTCAAGCTGCCTATAAAGGGATGAAAGCAAGACAGATTTTAAGAGAAAAACGCAGAGCTGCTGTCATAATACAAAGAGCATATAGAAGGTATAGGCGGTATTGTTTCTACAGAAAGCTTCAGTGGGCTATGAAAGTAATACAAGAAAAATACAGAGCAAATAAAAAGAAACAAGAAACACTTCAACACAAAGCCTGTAAGGAAGAAGAAATTTGTGTTCAGGCAACTTTTCAGGAAATAAACTCAAGGAAACAAGTTCAGAAACAGAATGAGGCTGCCATTATTATTCAGAAGCATTTTAAAGGCTTTAAAACAAGGAAACACTACCTCCACCTTAGAGCTACTGTAATTTCTGTTCAAAGAAGATATAGAATGTTAACTGCCACCAGTACCCAAGCAGATATTCGTATACAGACTTCTCACAGAGGCTTTCAGGTAAGAAGTAATATCCAATAGATGCATGTGGATACCACACTAGTTCAGTCATTTTGTCAAATGCAAGAAGGCAAATTGTTTATCAAGCAAAGAAAGCTTACTTATTTTACAAAATTATTATTCATCAAATGTCAGAGTTAAAAAATGTTTTCAGCTCAGAAATTTATTTGAACTATTTAAATTGTCTTTAGGCATGAAAGTTAGTTTCTAAACAAAATTCAAAACATAGCTGAGGTAAAGTTGGCAACCATTGTTAATCTGATTTGCTCGTTACAAAACTAAACTCAGAATGAAGTTGTTCATTATGGGCATATTATGAGTCAACAGCGGTGTGACACTTCTCTGTTTGCTTGTTCACAGGACGGAGAGTTCTGTTCTGAGAGTCAGGCTGCACTGATAGGTCAGAAAGCTTTTCATAAGATGACCATGAGAAAACTGAACACACAGAAATGTGCTGCCCTGCAAATTCAGTCTTTCCTTCAGATGGCTGTGTTTCGAAGAAGATTTATTCGGCAGAGAAGAGCTGCTGTCACTTTACAGCATTTCTTCAGGACATGGCAAACCAGAAAACGGTTTTTACAATACAGGAAGGCAGCAGTGGTTTTACAAAATCACTACCGAGCTTTACTGTCTGCAAAACATCAAAGACAACTTTATTTACAAATCAAAAGTAGTGCTATTATTATTCAAGCTGTAATGAAAGGGTTTATACAGAAACGGAAGTTTCAAAAAGTTAAAAGTAGCACCATAAAAATTCAGGTATTTATAAATTTAATTTAAATCTATAAAGTAGGAAAAATAAACTAGAGAATAGTAACAAGTGATTTAAGATTATTGATCATTAGAGTAAGATTGTAACTAGTTTGTAAAATGTAAAAGTTTAATGTTTCTCTTTTAGACTAAGAAATTAAAGAGAGGGGGCTGGGGATTTAGCTCAGCGGCATAAGCACCTGCCTTGCAAGCAGGCGGTTATCGGTATCCCCGGTACCGATAAAAATGAAAAAAAAAAAGACAAAAAAAATTAAAGAGAAGCTTAATCAGGAGATGGTCAGTCACATCAGAGTCACATTTTCGTTCTGAATGAAATGTGAAAGACGGACTGGAAAGGGAGGGAGCAAGAGTAGAAGCGTGGAAACTCATTGGGAGGTGATGGGCAGAAGGTGGGGTGAAAGTGTTCAGTATAGGTTAGTAAAATGAGGTCTCTAATTGCTAGTTTTTGTTTGTTTGTTGGGTACGGGGAATTGAGCTGGAGATCTTGTGCTTGCCAGGCAGGCGCTGTGCCACTGAGCTATAGCCTCAGCCCTGTAATTATTAGTTTGATTACAATAGAATGAACATCATGCAGGGCATGAACAAGAAGCAAGCAGATGGTGAATTCACTGACATAGGGCACAAAGGCAAGACCAGGTTTTGAAATTCTTGATGAGTTCAGTTTGGAGTACATGAAGTCTGCAGTGCCTTGCAAATACCTAGGTGAGATGTCTACTAAGGCAGTCAACTGGGTTTATCTAGAGTTCAAAAGAATAGTAGTTTGTAGAATTTGATTTGTACATTATTGGGATACACTGATCACTTACATTGTTGAACTGCAGCGACATATTTGTTGGTGAATTCTGTTCCAAATTTGTTTGAACACTGAAAAGTTTGACAAGTGAACGTTTTTCCCATAAAAATAATGGAAAGCCAAATAATTGGTTTTTAGAAGAAAAAAATACATTTATAAATTCATTTTTTATAGGAATTTAATTTTGCAATGATTTTTTTTCTTTAAATCTATCATACTTCCCAGTTTTCCTTTTAGTTTTATTGCTGGTATCACTAATTTTCTTTGGAGTTATCATTGTAATGTTTTATGGTAATAAAGCACAAAAGAAGCACATGACCGTAAATGTTTTAGCACTAACACAAGCACAGTATACTGTTTGAGCAGTGGTTAGACTAAAACTTCATCCATTTTTGTCCAAGGTTAGGTGTGCATGACACATTCCTGACCCATGTAGGTTTTTTCAAGTCGAATTTTTGGTTTAACTTTCTCCCTGAGCAGATTTTCTCAAAGATTGCTATCTGAGTAGTGGAAAGTTTGAGCTTGCAAGTGTTCAGCAGCCTAGGCATCACTGTAAAGGGACCATCTCAGGAAAATGTATGGGATGAGAAAAGGCAGGGCCTGGGGTTTGAGTTGGAGAATGTACATTCAAAGACATTGAAAGGAGATGCTAACACATGGGCTTAACAAGGAAAGAGGAAAACTAGATTATGGTGTCAAGAAATCAAGGATTGAGCAAGAAAGGAATGCTCAAGTTTTAAATATTACCAAGAAAATTCATAATTAAAAGGTGTTAATTAAATGTATTAGGATTATATTCAATAGAAATGTCAGAAAAGCCAAAATAATAATTTATCAAAAGTATTGTTTTCTCTCTTTTGGAATTGAATTATTAACTTACATTCTATGCATGTAGTTTTTAGTCTATATTAGTAATTTTAGGTCACATAATAATCACCTGGAATCTTTAAAATTAGCCATTAAGTTCTGCCTATAGTAATCTGCACTTTGACTGTAGGGTGTGATATGTTGGTATTTTGCTTGGTTGCCGTTAAGCTTAGAAATAATCAGCTGCTGCTTGTAGACATTCGGATTTAACTGGTATGGAGATAATTCAGACAGTAGAATTTTTGAATGGTCCCTAGGTGATTATATGCAATAAAGTTAGAGAATTTTTAAAATATACTGTACATGACTGAATACATTTATATATGGACTGGTATTCAGGTTTACTTACAGGAAAACAACTTTTCATCCCAAAGTAATTTGGAATAACACTAGAGATCTTGATAATCACAAGATATTTATAAATATTAAATAAATTAGCTCTTTCAGTTACTTGTATGATACCAAGTCACTTAATTTCTCTGGGGTTTACTTAGGTTATTGTAAAGTTAGTAGCTTTCATTGCTTAGTTTAATAATTTGCAGCTGTCACCTAAACTTTTATTCAGATCCAGGTTTGCCAAAATTAGAAAATTTGACAGTCCTCAAGTTGTTCCTCTAGGCTGGACACAAAACCTAAATCATACAAGAAATAGAAAGGTTTTTGTGAAGAAAACAGATGTATTCATTTCTTTCTGTTCTTCCAAATGAATTAAGGTGATAACAGTAAATGCAAGTCTGGTTTTTCACATATTATACATACCTTACAACATGAAAATATTGGTTATTCTTGCAGTACACTGGCCTAGCTGCCAATCACAGTGTGTGTAAGCAATGAAGCACTTAATAGGAGTTCATTGTACTAATACCACTGTTCTCAGAGGGATATGTGCCTGAGTATGATACTCAGGACACGATTTTATTTTTGCAATTGATTTTTGTCTTCCTTAATCTCGTGTTAACCATCTTTAATTATTTCAAATTTGCAAAGAATAGGCAATCATATGTATATTATTGTGTTTAATAGGGTGCGTGGAGAAAATACAAAGCTAAGAAATATTTATGTAAAGTGAAAGCTGCCTGCAAGATTCAAGCCTGGTATAGATGTTGGAGAGCACGCAAACAATATCTAGCTGTATTAAAAGCTGTTAAAATTATTCAAGGCTACTTCTATACCAAACTGGAGAGAACACGGTAATGTGGCTGTATGGTAGAGTGTGAGAACGTAAGCGCTTATGCGTGCATAGTAGCCAGGTCCTTTTATAAAAAACCCAGCTTGTTTATTTTTCACTATTTGCTGTGCTTGATTTATATACTTTGTTGATGTTTTCTCAAATAATGAAAAAAACTACATCTCTTGGACTATCTTGCTTTTTTTTAAACATAGAGCAAATCCTTGATAATGTAATTTAGTAACAGTAACTAATTCAGATTGATAATGATGAAACTAAGGGCATTGGGTGGAGAGTGAATAAAATAATCCAGTTAAAGTCTTGGTTTTCTTAGTTTGCTGGTCAATTTTCTTTGTTAATTTACCTGCTAGCAATTGTTTCTTCCTTTGTTTTTTATTTTTTATTTTTCTGTATATTCTTTAATGATAAATACCCAAATTACCATCCTCCCTATTCAAATTATGTTTTCCTGTTCCTGTTCATCTTTTTTATATACATTTATACAAGCTATTTCCACACTTAAAAAATAAAACAAAACTTCACATTGTAGGAATTTTTTGTTACGACTAGAATTGATGAATTATTGCATCAATGATTGCTTTAAAGTCATTGTTACAAAGTTCACCAGTTAAAGAGCTCCTAGATAAGGCCATAGGAAGAACCAGCGTTTAACCGATGGATACATTAGTGCTAAGAGCCAGTGTCTTATTTTCTTGTGCACAATGATGAATTTTTCTCATTGATACTCAGCCTTGTTTTCAGAGAAATGTGGCAATAAGACTAACAAATATCTTTCTTTTTCAAGAATTTCAAGAACAGATCAAAGATAGCTGACCATTTTCCCTTAATGCTACTTGTGATCTCCCAAGCCTTCTCGACCACTTCTGTGTGGAGATTCACTGAGACTTTATTTTTTTCTGTTAATTTTGCCATCTCATTCATTTAGGTTTTTGTCTAGTTTTGAATAATCACAGTTTTGATCTGGTTACCCTTCATCATATTAGAATTTTAGAAGATCCAAATTCTTAATGAAATATTGCCATTGCAAAATTTTTCCCTTTGTGTCAGTGTGTGTCTATGTGCTAGAATTTAAGTATGTTACATTTTTTTCACTTTATTTTAATCTGTCATTGCTTCCCTATGTTTACATTCTCTTCAGTACTTAAGGGAGGGGGAATAAGAATTTATTGAATAGGTTAAAGTAATTTAAATTTGCTTCCCAATATTATTTTTTAGGTTTTTGAAGATGAGAGCATCAGCAGTTTTCATTCAGAGAAAATGGAGAGCTATACTTTCAGCAAGAATAGCTCATGAGCACTTTTTAATGATGAAAGTAGGTTTAAATAAAAACCAGTTCACTTATATAGATCTACTTTAAGAAGTAGAACACAAAGGAAATGTTTTTAAAACTTATTGTTACATTTATGTTACACGAATAACAGTGAATTAAAACTGCATTTATCTATAAAAATACTATTTGGTAAGATTTTTGTGTTATATCTGTGTGTATTTATGAAGTTTTATGTGTTTATGAAATATTAAACCCCAATTTGAAGTGACATCAGTGAAAATTAGCAATCTATATGGAGAAAATTATAAAGTAGCATATTTTATCCAGTATAAGTCAAATACTTCATAACATACTCTTTGAAGCCACAATTGATGACCTATTTAAAATTTTAATATCCAAATTTTAGAATAGCCATAATGCCTAATGATATTTTATTACATAAATCAAAATTAAAATATATACAATATTCTAATGTTCATATAATATTCACTGTGGCTGTACTGGTGCATAATCACAATTATTACTACTCTTGCTGGTGATACAATGTGTTCTAGGGATCAGATAAGCTCTTATATACATACTAATTTAATTTAGTTAACCTCATAGAGTAGATACTATTTTCAGACTCATTTTTTAAAGTGAGAAAATTGTTTAAAGAAGTAAGTGATTTGCCTTAGATCACTCTGCTAGTCAGTAGGGGTTTATTAATAAATGTAGCCTAAACAACGTATAACAGTGTAAGTCTTTTTGCTTCTCACAGTAGAAAGCATCAAGAAGTCAAGAGGGACAGAAACACCAGGCCTTTACTGACCTGGCTTGTATTGGGGGCGGGGAGAGACAGACCTATGTCCCTTTTATTCTTTTGTTGCAGTAGTGGGTATTAAACATATGACCTTCACACTGAGCTAAACCTTCTGCCCTTCTTTAAAATATTTATTTGTTTGTTTGTTTATATTTTGAGACAGGATCTTACTAAGTCATTACATTTCCCAGAGTAGGCTCAAACTTGTGATCCTTAGCCTAATTACATTGTCAACCTGCGCATTGTAGTTATACTATTTCATTTTACATTGAGAAATTCAAGAAGCACTAATATAGTGACAGCTAACCATTTAGAGCTTTCAGTGATAACACCTGGCTGCAGCATACATGCCATAGGTTCCCTAATGTTGCTGTAACAGGTTGAAAATAATATTCATGTCTATTAATGTTTCTTACAAAATTTTTCTTTTAGAAACATCAAGCTGTGTGTTTGATCTAGGAATGTTTTAGGGGCTCAGGTGTCTCTTTGGCAGAGATAATATTTTTTTAATCACAGAGAGACATGCAAAATCCAGGGTGAGTAGGAAATGGATAAAGTATTTTAAATTTTAAAAGTCTGCAGTTACTGAACAAATACTGGTATGTGGCTGGCTATTAAGAAAAAAATAGTATATATTTTTAAATAGAATATCTCAGTCCTATGAAATGAAAGTGTTTTGATATTAAATAATGTTAAGAAATTTTGGATTTTGGAGAATAATTTCAGATCAAATACAATCATTAATTTTAATTCATTCAGCAGCTGCAGAGCTATTTAAGGAGAACACTGGTCGACACAGGTTTTTGGTATGTGACCCTACACTATTTTCTACAAGTGGTCACTGCCTAGGATATAAAATAAACTTCCCTGTGTAGTAATTCTTATCGAAAGAGTGAAAGGAATATGGTGCAGACTCTGGATGTGGAGGAGGTTCGTTTTCATTCATGTAGCCTTTTGTTTCCTTCAACCAACATTTTTGTGGTGTTGTAATTGCTTTCTTGTGATACTTCCACATCTTTAGCTTCTCAGAATTTTGTTTGGGAAACTCATCACATTTGGGGTTCCAATATGCCAAATACTGGAATAGACAAGTTAATATAAATTTGAAAGGAAAGAAGAGTAATGTTCTATATAAATTAGGAGGCGAAAGAAAGGAGGTCACTTTCTAATGTGTATCTAGAACAGTTTTATACTGGAGTTGTGTTTCACTATCAAATACTGAAGAAATTAATTCATACAATTTTGTCTGAAGTAATGTTATCATCATTAACAATTCAGCTTGGAAAACTGTAACTTTTTTGAGTTTAATGTTAATATTTTTCTCTTATTATATGTGCATTACAAAGATTTAACTAGCAGGTATTGAGTAGTCTAGTTACATTAAATGCTGTATTTTAGTATTGTGCCCAAAATATAATTTTGCTTCTATCCTAAACTATAGTTTGTGCTATTAGAAATATTGTATAATACAAGATTATGATCACATTGAATTAAAATGGCAATAATTAAGTTTTTTATTAGTTTATAGAACTTGATATTGGAGTTATATAAAAATAAATATTGATTGTCTTAAGAATCAGATACTTGATGATTAATATTGTATTAATAATATTGTATTTTTTCTCCTTTAGATTTTAGAAAAGAGAGCCAAAATTCGAATTGTTCACTTTACTGCAGCAGCCTATTACCACCTGTCTGCTCTTAGAATTCAAAGAACGTATAAACTTTACGTGGCTATGAAGAATGCTAAGAAGCAGATTAATTCGGTCATCTGTATTCAGGTTAGTTTCTCTGCAGTAAACATTAAGATATAAATTTCCTGCTAAAATTCTTTTGGCATACAGTAAACACTTTCTGGATACTTTATTAAGGTCATATATTTAGACTTTCAAAGCTACTCGGGTGATTTGAGGGTCAGAAATAGGTTGATACTTAAGTCACACAAATAAATGTGTGATTATTCTCTGATGTAATTGTACTCATTGAAACTCCTGTTAAGTCTGAAGGTACCTGTTTCTCATCATAAAGGATTCTGATTTTTGGCATACTGCAAAATGAGAAATGAGATCCCATTTTTATTTTATTTATTTGATTGCTAGCAATTCTAAATTTTTTTCATACTAGTTATTCAGACTATCTGTATATTTTATGTTTTTAAAGTGTTTTTAATATATTTTTCCTAGTTTCTTCTGAGCAAAGTATGTGATGATTTATAGGAGTTTTATTCTAGAGAAGAATCTTATTTATATACATTAATATAAAATATTAAAAAATCAAAACTATTGAAGGAAAAAAACAAACTCCACAGTGATACACAATTTAACAGAATGTATATAAATTAGAAAATAAAGGGCATGGTATATAGAATTTAAGCACACATCACACATGCGCACATCCTATATGGACTGAAGGATTTATACCTTCCAAGAGCAAGAAATAAATGAAGCAGGAAACAGGTACCACCACTGGGGAGGGTTAAAAAATATTTTGATGTCCTATTTTATTTCTTTCATTTTTATATGTAAATGTATTTTTTTTTTTTTTACAAAATCTGAAGTAAAAATGAAAACTAAATCCTATTTTAAACAGAGGTGGTTTCGAGCAAAATTACAACAAAAGAAGTTCATTGAGAAATGTCGTAACATTGTAAAAACTAAGCATGAAATGCAAGAACGTCTGAACCAGCAAAATAGGGCTGCTTCAGTAATACAGAAAGCAGTGCGCCGTTTTCTTCTTCACAAAAGACAAGAAAAATTTAATAACAGAATCACTAAAATTCAGGTAGGTGAAAATTCTGCGATTTTAGTTTAAGATTGAAACTTAAAGCATTACTTGAAACATCTGATCATATCATACTAAAAATATTTATATGGTAGAGATTTAAATGTAAGTTCAGAATATTAGTGGATATAATCTTAAATTTCTCTGTTTATTTATTAAGGCATTATGGAGAGGTTACTTTTGGAGAAAGAAAAATGATTGTACGAAAATTAAAGCTATCCGACTAAGTCTTCAGCTTGTTAATAAGGAGATTCAAGAAGAAAACAAGCTGTACAAAAGAACTGCACTTGCACTTCACGATCTTTTGACATATAAGCACCTTTCTGCCATTCTGGAGGCCTTAAAGCACTTGGGTTAGTTTGTTCCTATAGTATTTGTTTAAGACTGGGAATGCATTTAGCCTTGAATATTTAAAGAATATTGCAATAATACAGTATGAGCTAAAGCTTCACTCAGTTGCTGTGAATTTAATTACTATTTTTTTTCTCCTTCAGAGGTAGTCACTCGATTGTCTCCACTTTGCTGTGAGAATATGGCAGAGAGTGGAGCAATTTCTAAAATATTTGTTTTGATCCGGAGTTGTAATCGTAGTGTTCCTTGTATGGAAGTCATCAGATATGCTGTACAAGTCTTGCTTAATGTAGCTAAGGTAATTTTTTATTTATACTTTTGAAATATTTTAATGTTGTAGTGCTAATTTGTGTAAGGTTTTATTTCTTCCGCATTTATGTTTTAGCAATAACTGCCATTTAATAAGTGCTTACTATATACAGTGTTTTTTATGCATTATTTAATCCTAATAATCATCTAAAGTAGTTTGTATTACTCCTCTATTATAGAAGGAATAATATTAATTATAGAAGTTGCATGCAATCAAAAGTATTAAGATGAAGGATTTTTCTTCCTTATTCACCTCCTAAACCACAACTTTGATTTTTTTTTTTTTTTTTTTTTTTTTTTGGTACCTGGGATTGAACTCAGAACCTCACGCTTGCCAGGTTGGCGCTTATGCCACTGAGCTAAACCCCTGGCACAACTTTGATATTTTATCTAATATTTTTGTATGGGATAGTGGTTAAGAACAAAGTCTGATGCCAAACTAGCTGGATTTCAATTCCAGCTCTGCAGATTGTTACAGGTTACTTTCATAAGCTAGAAAATTAGTAAATTTACAGTCCCATCTCAAAATGTTTTTGCGAAAATGACTTACTTAATATACGAAAAATGCTTGCTGCAAAGACATACGATAAAAATGATAGGTATTCTATTATTTTTAACTATTTAAGTATTTGTTACCATGTGATATGATTCTATATAATCTAATGGTATAGTTAGATGAATGAGGTGTTAAAAATATATCCCAGGCTGGGGATTTAGCTCAACAGCATAAGTGCCTGCCTTGCAAGTGGGCAGTCGTGAGTTCAATCCCCAGTACCAATAAAAAGGAAAAAGACCCCCCCCAAAAAAATATATATTTATATCAAATGTTTTATTTTAAAGCAAGTTCATCTTATTCTCAAGAATTATAGGATAACTAATTAGATCATTATCATACCCTATGGTTATCTATTGTAGTTTTTTCCTGAAAGATTTTTATTAAAATGATCTCTAAAAGTTTGCTTTTATTTACTTCAAGATGTTCTTTTGTGGAGATTTTAGATTTAATTCCTTTTATGTGGAATGTTAGAGGCAGGTAGGAATGTAAACGATTATGATGTGAATATGCATCTAAAATAGATTCAGAAATGAGAGGAATTTCCCGAAGCCTTTGTACTTGTTGCAAGTGCTCCAAACATTTGGCTATAAACTTTATTCCTGGTTGGGTTGTTTCTAAATGGATGTGTTTATTTTAACTTAATTTTGTTCTGTTCTTTTCAAGTACGAGAAAACTACTTCTGCGATTTATGAAGTAGACAACTGTGTAGACGCGCTGCTGGAGCTGTTACAGATGTACAGAGAAAAGCCTGGGGACAGAGTTACAGGCAAGGGGGGCAGCATTTTCACAAAGACTTGCTGTTTGTTGGCTGTTTTGTTGAAGACAACAAATCGAGCCTCTGTGAGTATTTATTGGTTTCCTTTGCTTGAGGTTTGTAGTTCTATGACTTTTGCATTAATTATCACACTAAAATAAGATTTTGTTTGTATTTAAATCTCCTCCTAGTGTTGATAAAATCAATTAAACATGTATATACGATGTATACACAGGCATATATATGTAAAATGTGTGTACATTTGTTTCTTTCTGACACTAAAGAAACTGAATTCTCAAAACTGAATTTATTTATAGCCATTTATTTACAGTAACCATTTCCCATTTCTAGAGAGAATAACAAATTATCCTAATAAAGTAAGAAACTAGCTGTGTGGTTCTCTGGCATGTGGCAAGATTGCTCAGTTATTTTCTCTAGATGTCACAGTCAACCATATTTGGTAACAGTGGGAAACCTGTAAAGAATTTTGAGGAAGAGAATGATATTTTCCAATTTAAGTTTTAACATTTTTCTGGCCGTGGATTGGAGAATGAATTTGGGAGAGCACGTTTGGATATAGGGAAACTATTAAGAAGCAAGCAAGCGAGATATGTAGTGGACCAGGCAAGAGATTCTGTTTTGTTAAAGTGATGTCAATGAGAGGTAAGTGGGTAACTTTGGAAATTTTGAAGAGGTAAAATTCGTAAGACTTAGACTCTGGGTACTAGATAGGTATACTTGAGTATATAATATTTCATTTCTGTATTCATTATGGAGTTGTGCACCACTTTTGAATACTTGTCTTTGTAATTGCCTTGCAAATTAGTTCATAATTTAGACGAATCTACCCATTAAATTCCTCTGCATTGGTAAAAACTCAAAAACTTACTGTGTAGTAATCGTTAAAAACTCAAAAACTTACTGTGAAGGAAGTTTAAAGTGATTGATTTTGCTACTTGAAGAAAGACAGAAATTTAATTCTTACTATTTCTTATTAAATATTTGTTTTGTTTTTAGGATGTACGAAGTAAGTCCAAAGTTGTTGACCGCATTGATAGTCTATATAAACTTACAGCACGTAAACATAAAGTCAATACTGAGAGAATATTCTGTAAAGGAAAGAAGAACCCTTTTACAGGCATTCCCTGTGTTGCAGAAACACCTGTAAGGACCAGAATGGTTTCAAGGTAAGCAATTAAATGCACTCTATAATTTTGTGTCACCGTTGATTCATTTAATAAGTACTAACCATAAGATACTGTTTTTGACAATGGAGAAACAACATCTTAAAGACTATTAAGTAAAATCTAAAGGAAGCAACCTCAGAAAATAATACTATTGTTGCTTTGGTTATTTAGTATTTTAATTAGTGTTTTTGGGTATTTTAATTATTCAACAGATTTCTTGCATTAAACAGTTAAGAACAAATGCTTGTTATAATTTTGTTGTAGTATTTGTTTTTTCCTCACTAAGAACAAACTAGACGTTTAGGTGTTAAGAGCCTGTTTTGGCCAAAATAACCTCTAGGCCTCCCATAATGATTGTAGTTTTTTATATTAATTGATGTGAACTGTGATGACATATTTCCACCAGACTTGGTAACTTTAAATAACAGAAAGTTACTGTCTTAGTTGTGGAGACCAGAAGTTCAAAATCAAAGTACTATAATTAACAGGGCCATACTGCCTCTGGATCTTCTCCAGTACAATAATTCCTGGCTCCTCCAGCTTCATTGTGTCTTACGTGAATTGTAAGTTTCATCTTGCACAAACATGAGAAATCTGTGTCATAAATTCAAGGAAAATACAAATGAACTATAAACTCAGCAGAGATGCAACTTAGAAGGTAAGAGAGAGGTGTTTAAAAAGGAAAAGATTACAATAGTCATCTTGCAGAGGCATGGAGTATACCAGGCAGTTTCAGATGTCAATTTTTAGGTCTGTAATTTCTTTAAAATTATTTATCTGTACATTAATGAAGAAAATAGCTATTTTTATTAATTTTACAGCCCAAGTATAATTTTCCAGATGAGTTAAATAAGAGAGAGAAACAGTTGATGGCATTTGCAAATGAAATATACTGCCTGACCTAAGCCATTTAGGGGGAGAAATGAGAACAACACTGTGATGAATGATGGATATGTGTTGAAGTCAAATAAATTAGGGATCTGAGTGGGCTGGAGGAGTTTGGTTAGTGACTGTATCAAAGCAGATGACACAGATGAATCAGAATTGGCGGTTGGAAGATGGAAGTGTTAGTTGAGACTTAAGTGGTGATACACTTTCTGAAGAGGACAAAGTCTAGTATACAACCATGTGAGAAAGGATAGGTTGCGGAAGAACATATGAACATGGCAAAAATGACCAGGCTTTTGGCTTTTTAAGGTTACCAAAAATGATGACAAGAGTTGAGAGAGGACCAAGAGCCAATTTCACAGAGTAAGACTTCGAGAGTTTCATCAGTGACCAAAAAGGTGGTGCTAGAAGTAGGTAGCATCAGCTTAAAGAAGCTTAAAGAAGTTGCATGGTTATGCAACTTCAAGTAGGTACTAATAGGAAGTTTCCCACCTCTGAGAGGTTTGTAAGGGAAGTGTGTTCAAGAGTAGCCACATTGTTTTTGGAACATTGAGTTCCCTTCTAAGGAAAGAGTTTCAATAATGCCAATTATTTTGTTTGTTTGTTTTTTAACAGACTTAAACCAGACTGGGTTTTGAGAAGAGATACTATAGGAGAAATCATCAATCCCCTGCAAGCTATTCAAATGCTGATGGATACAGTTGGCATTCCCTATTAGTACATGTATTAGTATGAAGGAACCCTAAAGCTAATCATGAATATGTTGCTTTCTGTGTATGGCTTTTGAAGTTTGGCTTTGTATTAAAAATAGAAATATACATACCATAACTAAACTGTATATTAAATTCTTCATTGTTTAATGTTAAAGAGTATATAGAAAGCGTCTGGAGATTTTTTTTTTTAAGAGTTCTTAGTACTGCTGTTTTCCAAACACTATTTTTGTTGTTGTTGTTGTTGTTGACTCATTGCTTCTTAGTCTTTAGTCAGTGGAATTTTAGTATAAATAAGCATCTGTTTACTTTAATGAATTCAAAGGATTTAACTGACCACTATAAAAGTATAATCTCAAAGTATAACTGAAAGTAAAAGTATAATTCAAACATGAGTATAAACTAGTAGTTGCCCAAGAAGTATTTAGGTGAGAACTAAAGACTATAAATATTTTCTATTTCTCTATTAAAGTTGTGTCATTTTAGTTTGCTGTACAGTTTGTTGATCCATTTAAGTTAATTTTTGTATACAGAATAAAGTATGGATCAAAGTACTATTTTTCTGTTTTTTGTTTTTTGTTTTGCATATAGATTGCCTGGGTTCCAGAAGCATTTATTTAAAAAGACTATTCTTTCTCCATTGAATTTCATGTGTACATTTCTCAGAATATCTATTGACCATATATGTATTGGGTTCTTTTTTCCCAATTCAGTCTCTTTGATCACATTACCTCCTTCTTGTCTCTTCAATTTTTGCCTCACTCTTAGAACATTGTTCTTTGAATTAAGGTAAATGTTCTGGTAATCCAGCATGATCTCATTTCAAGATCTTTAATTACATCTGCAAAACCTCACTTTTTCAACAAGGTAACTTTCAAAGGTTCTGGAGATTAAAATATGGACATTTCCTTTTAGTTCTGTAGATCTTCAAGGTCACTGTGTTGTCTTGATTGATTTACCACTATAATTATCAGGTGACCTTCTTCATTTGTACTGAAATGCTACAAGATGTTAACATAGCATCTTGCTGATATTTTAATTGTGATAAAATGTACCTCACATTTTAACCATTTTCAAGCGTGTAGATTATTGGCATTAAGTGCATTCACATTTTTGGGTTGTTCCATTTTTCTTTTGATTAGGACTAGCATGTATATTAATATTTTGGAGCTTCTATAGCAAATTTTCACAACTCACTGGCTGACAGTAACAGAAAGTTATTCTTTCACAGTTTTGCAGCTCACTGGTCTGACATGAAGATATTGGCAGTGTTACACTCCCTAAGGCCTTAAAGAGAGTTGGTTCCTGACCTTTTTAAGCTGCAAGTGATCTGGGTATTCCTTGGCTCCTGGCCATATTAGTCCAGTTTTTGATCACATTCCCTTCTTCATTGCTTTATTGAATCTTCTGACACACTCTTAGAATATTTTTCATTGAATTAAGGGGAACATCCTGGTAATCCAGCATGATTCATGTCAAGATCTTTGATTTAATTACATTTTCAAAACCTCATTTTCCAAATAAGGTAAACAGTCAAAGATTCTGAAGATTAGAATGTGCAGTTTCTTTAGGAAGCCATATCTGGCCCACTCTAACATGCTATTTTACTTTTATCCCTATCTGTGTTTTGATGTGTGTCTTAAGTTACCTTTCTCTGACTGCTGAACTGAAACACCCAACCCTCAACATTAAAGGGGAAAAGGTTTATAAGCTCACAATTTGTAGAGGTTTCATTCAATAATCAGCTAGCTCCAAGGCAGCGTGGCACATGGTAGAGAGGCAACCATTCATGGTGACCGAAGACAGCTAAAACAACAGGAGAGAGTAAGACAAACCTCTTCTGTCCTTTATATTGTATCCAGTCGCCCAGGGTTAGGGCTATGCCAATCCAGGCAATGAACTGATTCAGAAATCACCCACCTTTAATCCCAGAACCCTTAATCCTAGCATTTCACTATAAATCAGTCACACACATACTGGATTTGGCCAGCTCTGAAAACACCCTGTGAACTGCATGAGGCTTTTGGGGGAAAACTAGACACAAACCATAAGTATGATACGGGCTTCTCGAAGAAAGTATATTATTGGGCCTTTATTTTTTTAACCTAGTCCCCTTTTAATGGAGGTATTTAAACTTTTTATAGGTGTTGTGATTACCAATGTGGTTGAGTTTAAATCTGGTCTTGTCTTTATTTTATATTCATCTGGTTTTTTTTTCTTTCCTCACCTTTTTTGGATTGATTGAATAGTTTTTTTTTTTTTTGTCATACTTTATAACAATTTTTTATTTAACATACTTATTGGTACTTGATATACAAGTTTGTACAACATAAGGTATAAGAATCTTTCAGTTTAAATTCTCTTCCTTGTCTTTGTGATATTGTTAACAGTTTACTTGTAAACTCACAATAAATTGCCATTTTAATTATTTTTGCTTTAAAAATTCAATTTTAGAATGCTTTTTATATTTTTAAGCTTTAAATTTATTTACATGGGTGCTATTTTTGGACTCTTCAATCTTTATGTAGATGCAGATTTTCATCTAGTATCATTTTCTTTTTGCCTGAAGGGCTTCCATTATTGTGATTCGTAATGCAGGCTGGCTGTTGTCTAGTTACTTTTTTCTCATTACTGGGACAAAATACCTAGCATCAAAAGTTAAAAGAAGAAAAGTGTTATTTAGCTCACAGAAGAGATTTTAATCCATAATCAGCTGTTTCCAAGGCAGGGGTGGCACATGGCTGTGGAAGACAACCAAAGCAAGAGAGAGGAGACAAACCTCATTTTGTCCCTTATATTGTATTCGGTTTATTTATTTATTTATTTATTTATTTATTTATTTTATTTATTTATTTTTTTTTTGGTGGCAAAACCAAGCTTTATTTTGGAAAAAAACAAGTGAATTGGTTTTTGGTGGAGGGCATGGGAAAGAAGGCAGTAGATTCCCCCCGAGGGTGGGCTGAGGGCGAGGGCTGAGCCTCAGGTGGGTCTCTTGCTCCCATGTGCGGCTGTCTCCCTCCCAGGCTCTGGGGCAGCCTCGGGAGGGCTGCGGGCTGGGAAAGGCTTCTGTGGTTCATTCACTTGGGCAGGACATCGGAGGTCTCAGACACCAGCTTCCCATCACGGGTCTCGATCTTCTTCACAACCACAGCAGACTTGGTGCGGGTGAAGCCAGGGCTTGTGAGGCCCCCATAGGGTGAGCTCACCATTCCTGCATAGCCACTGGTGGTCTTCGTGTGGATACTCAAGTTCTGCATCCCAGCCTCCAGCCTATTCTCCTCGCCCTCCAGCAGCTTGCAGTAAGTGGCAATCTCGATGTCCAGCGCCAGCTTGACATTCATGAGCTCCTGGTACTCGCGCAGCTGCCGCGCCATGTCCTGCTTGGCCTTCTGCAGGGCGCTCTCCAGCTGGGCCAGCTTGGCATTGGCATCCTTAATGGCCATCTCCCCACGCTGCTCAGCATCGGCGATGGCAGCTTCCAGGGCTGCTCTCTGGCCTTTGAGAGCTTCAATCTCCGCCTGGAGGCGGCTGATGCTGCGGGTCATCTCAGAGATCTCAGACTTTGTGCGGCGGAGATCATCCCCGTGCTTCCCAGCCAGAGTCTGCAGCTCTTCATACTTGATCTGGTACATGCTCTCAGCCTCGGCCCGGGTGCGGTTAGCAATCTCCTCGTACTGGGCCTTGACCTCAGCGATGATACCATCCAGGTCCAGGGAGCGGCTGTTGTCCATGGACAGCACCACAGATGTATCTGAGATCTGCGACTGCAGCTCACGTATCTCCTCTTCATACAGCTGCCTGAGGAAGTTGATCTCGTCAGTCAGTCCTTCCAGGCGAGACTCAAGCTCCACCTTGTTCATGTAAGCTTCATCCACATCCTTCTTGATGAGGACAAATTCATTCTCCATCTCCGTACGCTTGTTGATCTCATCTTCGTACTTATTCTTGAAGTCCTCCACCATCCCCTGCATGTTGCCAAGTTCCGCCTCCAGCTTAAGCTTCTCCTGACCCAGTGTGTCCAGCTGCCTTCGGAGGTTGTTGATGTAGCTTTCGAACATGTTGTCCATGTTGCTCCGGGACGTCTTCTGTTGTTGCAGGAGACTCCATTTGGTCTCTAGCATCTTATTCTGCTGCTCCAGAAACCGAACCTTGTCGATGAAGGAGGCGAACTTATTGTTGAGGTTCTTGATCTGCTCCTTCTCCTGAATGCGCACAGCCTGGATGTTGGGGTCCACCTCCAGATTCAGGGGGTTCAGCAGGCTCTGGTTCACCTGGACGGCTGTGATGCCACCCACACCACCGCCCCGCCATAGCCACCCAGCCCCAGGCCGCCCCGGAAACTGCTGCTGCTGCCCACTCGGGAGAAGCTGGAGGAGCTGATGCGGGAGACGGGCCCGCTGGTGTAGGAGCGGCTGCTGAAGGCCCGGGGACCAGAGGTGGACACCTTGTAGGACTTCTGGGTCACCCTTATGGACATGGTGGAGGCTGGAGTGAAGGTAGGCAAGCTGAAGACAGAGTCTCAAGAAGGAGCCAGGCAGCTGCTTCTGTAAGGTCTTGTATTCGGTTTACCTGCCCTAGGGTAGGTGGAACACTCACACCCTTAATCCCAGCATTGGACCCTGAATCAAACCGGATCTCTAGATTCAGCCACCTCCGAAAAGCCCACCCCCCATGACTACATGATGTGGGCGTGTGGTGGGGGAAGCATCAAGGCACAAACCATAACAGCTAGGACAATTTAAACTGAAATCTACTTGCTAGATATCTTACAGTAAACACAGTTGAACTCTGGTACTAAAATAAACCAATAAATCGTAAAAGACATCTAAAATGTTCATAGGAATTTAGTATAAGACTGATAGAAATTCAAGTTACTTGCAAAAGGGTGAATTATCTGATAAGTAATTAAAACAGGTAGGCAATTTGGGCAGGGAGATACTTCTCTGATGCTATAAAAGTTTTCTGTTTATCAATTTAAAAAACTATTATAAGAAACTGGTGATTTTAAAAAACAATATGATAGTGATTTCAAGTACAATGTACATCCCAAAATTTTTTATGAAAACATTAACTTGCAAAATCTACCACCATAAATTCAAAAAATAAACACACCAGGAAAGTTTATATAGAACTGAAATCACAGAGCCGTTCCATTGACCTGGTTAGGGTCTTAAATGTATTTTAAAAAAAGGAGTTCAGCAGAAAAATATTCAATATAAATAAGGAATTAACTAAAAGTGGAATAGAAAAAATCAGTGTAATTTTTCTAGATACAGCAATATATGTATGTAGTGGCTCATTTCACATTTGTGATTTATTCTACTTTGATATGTATACTTTCTACAAAGTGACAAGTGCATTGCAGTAGTTTTACCAATAATAAAATATTGGAAAGTATTACCCAGCACAAATGAACAGGGCATTAAATGCAATTTTGGTGTGGCACATTAGAGGACATTTGGTGAGAAAGCTATGGTTTTCCTAAGATCAACCACACTGTGTGGTTGTGAGCAGAATGTTAATAGAAATATGAACATTATGTAAGAGAAACCAT